TCCCCGCCACTATCGATATGACGAGGTAGGTGTTGAAGGGCGTGAAGATGGCGAAGAGGGCGAGCAGGGCTCGGCCAAAGAGGGCGTTCACCGCCTCAATTAAATGGAAAGTCTCGGCGTGGTAGCGCCGGTACTGGGTGAAGAGGCTGACAGAGAAAGGCTTTGAGAGTTGGTGGTTTTGATTATCTTTTTTTCCCCTAAAGTGTGGCCTTTTTATTCTCAGCAGTCGGTTCACGGCGGCCAGCTGAAGGAAGACAGTGGCTGAGATGGCGGTGAAGAGAATCGAGGAGAGAAGATTGACAAAGGCCAGGCAGCCGGTGACGAGGCTGAAGAGGAGACACGAGGTGAAAAAAGTAGTCAGTCGAAGCAGCAAAAGGAAAAAGTGGGCGGCATTTTCTAGGCACAACAGAGCTTCCTGAAGTGTCCAGGCGCAGTAGAGCGCTCCCAGGAAGAAGACACTGAGGTAGGACACTGAAGAAAAAGAGGAGTTTATTTATCAGTTGTTATTAGTTTTTTTGGCCTGTTTAAAAAGCAGTTGTTCCCTTCACTTACCGGCAAAGAGCATCATGTACCGGGCGACTAGAATCCAGTACCAGGTATACCGGCGGACGACCTCCTCTGTTCTTCTTTTCGTTTGCACTCCTTCTCTAAAGTGCCACCACCACCTCCCTTTGACTTTGATGCACTTTTGAATGAAAAATCTACCTGATTTTAGCCCGCGAGAGAAGAGCACCTCATCTGCGAGCAGCACCGGCCACCAGAGCTACTTTAGACTGCGCTGAAGTAGGTCATTTCGATTCTGCAGCCCGTACATCAGGTAGAGAAAGTACAGCTCCTCGAGGCAGCACCCCGCGAGCAGGTAGTTCAAGGAGGGCGGGCAGTTGAGGAACAATGTAAAGTCGTAGTGGAGCAGCCTCTGCAGGCTGGTCAGCTGCGCTGTTGAAGGCGAGGCGAGGTAGGCGTGGCGGACTAGTTGAATCGCCAGAAGAGAGCTGACCAGCTGGACTTTGAGGTAAATGGAGGAAACAGCTTTAGTTTGAGCGTAGGTTTCTTTTCCATTTTGATGTCTACTGTCCTTCAACGTCTGCACCTCGGCAATGTACGCCTTCAGATTAGTTTTCAACGGCCAGAACTTGAAGAAGACTTTCAGCAGGCGGAAAAGTTGCCAAACTAATTGAATCTTATGGTAGAATGTATTCTTAGCAAAAACCATTTTACTATTTAATGATTTTAATTGAAGCAGAAGTTCAATTGGAATGTTCAGTTTTGACATATAAAAAGCTGTAGTTGACAATTGGTGGGTGTTGTTGTTTCAGTAACAGTTTAACCTTGCAAACAGTTTATAAAATTTTAATTTTTTTTGCCTAAAAAGACCACAACAGTGTGTGTTCAAAATTGTTCACTAACAAACAAATCATAAATAAAGTTAAAGTTTTAAAAAAATACTTTATATTTGTGTTTTTGCTACATTAAAATAAAAAATGCATGTGAAGTAATGTTTCAGCTAAATGTTCTTGCAGTGAACGTTTAATGTAAGTTTCGACATTTTACCAATTTTTTTTGCAACAAAATTGGTCATTTAAAGTTTTAAATACTTATTTAAAATTTATTCAAGTTTATTTTTCTAATTAAACATACAAGTTACAATGTTTTCATAAACCAACCTTAACTCATTACAATGATCATTTTTTTAGACAGTCCAGCCACAGGTGCACATAAAATTGTCATTTCAATTTTCTAAATATCGCTAATTGAATTTTTGGCAGTCTCGCTTTTTTGCTTTTAAAATGTGCTTTTAATAAAGTTGGTGGTTTGGTAGTTTTGGCAGCTACCACCACCACCTCCGACGATTTTAGCCGGAAAGAACGGTTTCCAACGCCTAGCAACGCCGAACAAACTACAAAACAGACGCTCTCTCCCACTGTGACTGTTTCCAGGCGACAATGACTTTAGAAGGCAAAAGTGAAGACTTCTCAGGTGATCTTCCAGTGCCTGTTTTGTACTGCTCACTGAATATATCGATCACTACTGAGAAAAAAGACACTGAAGCTCACTTTTTTATGTGCTGAAAATGGTAATTGACAACTGCTTTACCTGTGCTGTGATCCAAGCTTGTGTTTTATGCCACTTTAAAATGCCAAATTGAGCCTCTGGATTTTTGTCACAAAAAAGCTGTTTTCACTGGTTTTTTCAGATTGTTTTTTTGTACTGACAAAATGCTAAACTTCTTAGTTAAGTCCACCTTTGTGCTGCTGCTCAGTCTGTCGCAGGAGAGCAAAGCCTTCCGCCTGCCCAACATTAAACTCCCGTCGCCAGAGTAAGTGTACAGTGAAACTGAAGGTTTGAGTTTTACATTGCAAAGATGTAATCTTACTTTGCAAACAATCACTTTTTGTTTGGTGTATCCAGTGAAAATCAGTTCGAAGTACTGGAAGCGGCTAATGGAAACACCACCACCACTAACATTCATCTGGTCCACCCGATGGGCAAGTACCTCAAGTCGGCCAAGCCCGAGTCGGAGATGTTCATCCTCGGCTTCGGTGCCATCACCCTCCTCGGCATGATGCTCGTTCTCTACAAGAGCCTTCGAGCTAAGCAGAATCGGCGGAATCGGTCCTCACTGTATCACTACCAGCAGATGGAAGCTTGATCATTCTTCAAAAAAATCAAACAACTCAGGTCACCAGGTTTCAGCAACATTTCGGTCAAACCTATGAAACAAAACAACACAAAAAATGTTTAAAATGATAACTCAGAGAGAACTCATAGGTTTAGCCATGTTGCGAAAATCTGGTGACACTGTTGCCCTTGCAAAAAAACAGCAGTTTAGTTCATTTTTTGTTATTGATTTTGTTGTTGTTGTTAGTTGCATTAGTTCATGACATTACTTCGAAAACATTAGAGAGCGAAAATTGCAATTAATTGTCGCCATCAAATTCAATCAAATAAAAAAGCAAAGACTGTCTTCCGGAAACCTGGCACCTTTTTTGTTAATTTTTTCCTTCTTCTTTTTACTTTCCCCCACCTCGTTCCTCCTCCTGCCAGCATGCAAAAATTAACATCAACCAAAGCAACAACAAGCAGCTTGGAAGGCTACTGCTGCTGCTGCTAATTAATGTCAACAACCAGTGACAATTAGAGCAATTAACGCTCCTGCTCCTGCTGCTGCTGCTCTAATTAAACACCTCTTTCTTTCTTTCAGCTACTGCCGTTGCTACTTTGTTGCTCCTGTTTGTTGTGTTGCTGCTGCTGCAAAAAAATCAAGAGCTGCCTAACTAGCTATAATCTGTATTGTATTAATTTAATTTAACTTTTCAGCAGCACTTTCTCCGGGTAATGAACGTTCATCACGCACCACACAGCAGCAAATAATGTAAATCCTTTAGTCCCCCATCTTGTTGTTAAAAAATGCCTTTGACAATTGGACAAGTACAATGAAGGTACACTTTCTCACTTTTATCTTCCCTTTTGTTTTCTCTCAATGCTTTCCTTGTGCACAGAAGACGTAGCATGTCTTTCTCTCTCAAAGAAAGTATATAAGCTCCCAGCCGACCTGAAGTGAAAGTATCACTTATCATTAATCATTTTCTGTTTTGAAACTAGCCAGCCCAAACCAAACAAACACAAACCAAATATTCAAAAATGTTCACCAAAATCGCCTCGCTTCGCTTTTTCCTGGTTCTCCTCGCCTTCTTCGCAGTGGCTCATGCGGGTGAAAAGGGCGGCGACACGCTGGTCCTCGGCGGTGGTGGCGGTGGCGGTGGCGGCGGTGGAGGTGGTGGAGTTCAGTTTAGTAAGTGAAGTTTTAAGTAAAAAACTGATTTTAATTTTTTATTTTTAACAACTCTTTTTTCCTTCTCAGTTCCAATTCCCATTCCAGTGCCGATGGGCGGTGGTGGCGGCGGAGGATTTGGCGGAGGGTTTGGCGGTGGATTCCCCGGTTTTGGAGGCTTTGGAGGCTTTGGACGTCGTTAATTGAAAGTAAAACAAAATTGTCATCATCATCATCCTTAACCGCATTCAGCACACATCATGGCTGGTCCATGTTCTCCCCACAATCATCCTCAATCACATCTTCAGCATTACCATCATTATCAACTGTTTTACTTTATTATTATTATTCATCAGCATCAGATCATCAATAAAGTTATTATTCAAAGCACATGACCTAAAAGTTAGCAAATCTTTGGGTAGAGTCTTATCAATCAGTGTTTAAAAAGTGCTGCTGTTGTCATCACACGCAATGTCGACTACTGTTTGCCAACTGTTTGATTGGAAGCAGCAGAAGCACTTGATAATACTACCGTTTGATACCATTGTTTTGGGCACATCTAAAAAGCAATTACCTTATCAGGTAACATTACAAGTGTTGCTAAAACCATTAAATTAGCAGCAGTAATTACGACAAGTACTAAACATGTTCACCAGGTTTCAAGTGCCCGTACAAAAGCTTATCAGTCGATTTGATCAATCGATCAATCGCTCAATTTGATGCCTCAATCACCCTAGGCACAGTTGTGTTTTAGAGTGCCCTTGTCTCTGATACACCGTACATCAGTCAAAAATGTGTTTAAAATAGAGAATAAAAAAAATTATGTCACGGTAATTGGGGGGTATATAAAAGTAAGTGTTTCTCTTGAGATCAGCCTTACCATTCATTTTGGTTGGCAACGCAAAAAAAATCCTGCAAAAATGAAAGTTTTATTTTTGGCACTGTTTCTTGCAGTGGCCGTTGCCTCGATTCACTCCGTTCCCACGAAGACTTTTTTGGGGCAAAGTGACCAGGTGACCAGCCTGCCGGGCCTTCACTTTAAGCTCCATTTTAAGCACTACTCCGGATACCTCGCCTCTGCAAACTCCTCTCAGCTGCACTACTGGTTCTTCGAGAGTCAGAGCGATGTGACGAAGGACCCGGTGGTCCTCTGGCTGAACGGTGGACCAGGTACTACTAGCCTTTTCTAAATTTAAACCCAAAAATCTCACTTTTTTAACTTTCCTAGGTTGCAGCTCCCTTCTCGGCGCCCTCACCGAGAACGGCCCCATCGAGCTGAACGCCGACGGAACTCTGTCTCCCAATGCCTACGCCTGGAACTCCCAGGCGAGCATTCTCTTCCTCGAATCTCCCGCTGGAGTTGGCTTCAGCTTTAATGCCGCCCAGAACTACTCCACCAACGATGACGCCACCGCGGCGCTCAACTACGGCGCCCTGCAGTCCTTCTACGCGAAGTTCCCCCACCTGGTGAACAATGACTTCTACATTGCCGGAGAGAGCTATGGAGGTACTTTAAAATTACTCATTTTTGTTAGTCATTTTATCTCAAACCTTTTATCATTTTTAATTTAGGCGTCTACATCCCAACCCTGTCTCGAAATGTCGTCGCCGGAGGAAGTCCGGCGAACTTCCGCGGCTTCGCCATCGGCAACGGCCTCCTCGAGCAGACGATGCTGGCCAACAGCTACCTCCTCTTCACGCACTACCACGGACTGTACAGTCCCTCGATGTGGAACTCCCTCGTGTCGAACTGCTGCGCTGGAGTTTCGAACACTGAAAAGTGCAACTTCGTGGGCAACACCGCTCCCGCCTGCGTCCAGTCGGTGGCTGCCATTCAGGGCCAGCTGAACTCGATGCCCCTCAACCCGTACAACATCTACTCGTCCTGTGTGCAAACTTCCTCGGGAGCTCTCACCCCTGCCAAGGTTCACCAGCAGATGCTGAAGAAGTACCTCTTCAAGTACGTCGATGAAGTTGAGGGTGACGCTGAGGGTGACGATGATAATGAAACTCCCGTGGGTGACAATCCCACCTGCGTCGACCTCGACTACGTCGGCGAGTACCTCAACCGACCGGACGTGAGAAGTGCTCTGCACATCACCACCCAANCGCCATTCAGGGCCAGCTGAACTCGATGCCCCTCAACCCGTACAACATCTACTCCTCATGTGTGCAAACTTCTTCTGGTGCCCTAACTCCCGCCAAGGTCCACCAGCAGATGCTGAAGAAGTACCTCTTCAAGTACGTCGATGAAGTTGCCGAGGGTGACGCTGAGGGTGACGACGATAATGATGATGAAACTCCCGTGGGTGACAATCCCACCTGCGTCGACCTCGACTACGTCGGCGAGTACCTCAACCGACCGGACGTGAGAAGTGCTCTGCACATCACCACCCAGTCGCTGCCCTGGGCCGCCTGCAGCCCCTCGGTCAATGCCAACTACGTCAACCAGTACACCTCGCTGACGGAGATGGTGAAGAAGCTGCTTCAGGGCGGGCTGAAGGGGCTGATCTACAACGGCGACGTGGACACGGTGTGCAACTACCTGGGCGATCTGTGGTTCTCTGAGGGCCTCGGTTTCAGTACCGTCCAGGACTACCAGCCGTGGATGTACCAGGGGCAGATTGGCGGCTTCTACAAGATCTACGAGAACTTTGGCTTTGCCACCGTCAGAGGTTCAGGTAAGAGAAGAAGAAGCTGAGGAAACTGATGATAAAGTTGTTGTGATTTTTATGTTTGTTTTTGTTTGTTTGTCTTTTTTAGGTCACACCGTTCCGATGGACAAGCCCGGCCAGGCGAAGGAGATGTTCTACCGCTTCCTCAACATGACCAAGAGTCAGTAAAGAAGAGAGGGGGAAGACTTTCTCATCAAAAAACAAAACATTTTTTTTCATTATCATCATCAACACAAAACAAAACAAAACAATAAAAAAATTCATTAAAAAAAATTCCAACTTTTCACTCGCTCTCTTTCTCTCTACACAAAAACACACATCACTCTCACTAAAACGCCCAAAAACAGTAGTTGGTTTTTTGAGCTGCTTTCTTTCTGTCAACTCAAACCAAACCAAAAATGTCCGATTCAGCTCAAGAACCAGCAGCTACTGCAAACAACAACAGCAGCCCTGAATCCGGAAACTTTCTCAGCCGTCTAGGCAGCACCCTCAGCCAGAAGGCGGCCACCAGCGGCAGCTTCATCAGCGCCCACCTCCAGCGGAAGATCATCGAGGCCCTCGGAGCGGAAGTTCAGCCGCCGATCAACCCCGCCCTCTCCTCTACCGGAACGCAGGCTCTTCTTCGCCAGCAGGCAAAGACCTTGATTCCGGTGGCAGCTGATGGCACCGTCTCACCGGTGCAAACCGTTTCTGAAGCTCCTTCTTCTGAAGAAGAAGGAGGTGGTGGAGGTAGTGAATGCTCCAAGACGCCCATCACCTGGGAGAAGGTGAAGGCTGCCGGTGCGCTGATAGGCTTATCAGCCGTCCTCGCCAGCCTGGCCACGCTTCCACTTCCGGTCGCTCTTCAGCGCCGCATCTTTCCGCTGCCTCTCTTCACCTCGGCGCTCAAGCTGATAATGCTCCTCCTCTATCAGCTGGTCGTCCTCAAGAAGTTCAACTTCCTGTACTCTTTCGACGGTGGCTTTCTCTGGTTTCCCAACTTCCGGGTCACCTACGGGTCGGCTCTGGTGGC